CACATATTTTGTTAGTCTTTAAGTCTTTATCCCAAGAGAAGTGGAAGAAAGCCCCGTCCTGGTGAAACATGCTCCCACCTGAGATCAGGGTCCTGTGGGACTTATAACCATTCAGCAGGGCCTGTAAGACAGAGCTCTTCCACCAGGTTTTTGAGTAGGAGCCGCCACCACCATTGTACCATCACCGCACCACCACTACCAAATGGAGTGGGTACCATCGGGGAGCGAGATGGCCCTGGGATGAAGAATGGATAGCAGAGCTGTCTGGAACTTACTTTGTTACTTTGTTGTTCTGGGACCATCTTTACCAGAACCCCATCTTGTTATTAAGGACTTTTGTGACTAGAGCACCTGCACTTTACTGTATTGTATAAATGATTGTTTTATTCTGTTTTTAATTGTATTAATCTTGGCATACGTGCCTCATCTGTTAGCCGCCCTGAGCCCGCTTTGGGGAGGGTGGGTTATAAATCCAAAAATAAAAATAAATAAATAAATAAATACTTTTAAAATACTATAAACATCTAGTGTTCTTTCCTCATCAGGAAACTGACCTTGTGGCATCTGTCTTTGGGACATCCCTTTGCTCGGAGAAGTGGAGAGCTGCAAAAGAATATTGGCAGGAGCTGAAGGTTGTGTGTGTGTGTGCATGCTGATTCTTCTTTAAGTTGTTCCATAACCAACTGCTGTACTATCAGTCTCTAGGTGCTGCCCATCTGCCCATCTGGCCACCCTGAAGGAAGAGCAGGAGAGGTCTTTCCCTTCCCTTTTGGGATCTCAGTGCTTGTGGGCTCAGTGGTGAAGCTTTGAATACCCAACTGCAAAACAAAATCTTTGGGACTGATGATTTAGGGTTTACCACATGCCACAGGAACTGCAATAGTAGAGGAAGTCTCCTCAAATGTAAACTGGGCCTTTGGTTGCTTTGGGTGAAATCTGGGTGAGTGGAGATTTTGGGCAAGTGAAGAACCCAGCCCAAGAGGCAGAAATGCTTAGCTGGCAAGTTCTAATTGGATACTGACATATAATGTATTATCTTAAGGGGAGACGCTTTAGTTCCATGTTAGAGCTGCTGCCTTGTTGCAGAAAATCCCAGGTTTGATTCTGAGCACCTCTGGGTAAAAGGATCAAGTAGCGGGTGATGTGAAAGACCTGAGTTTGAGACCCTGGAGAGCCACTGCTAGTCAGAGTGGACAATACTGACCTTGATAGACCAAGGGTCTAACTCAGTATAAAGCAGCTTCATGTGTCCATGAGTATTGCTACATCGATAATTTCAGGAACAAGTCAAAGTTTCAAACAGCAAGAAATGTGGGTGTGGGAAACATATGGTCTATGTCCAGAAGACTTTTAGACATTTTGAAATGCATAACAATTGCACAGCTTTATCTCATTACTCAGAGACATGATCCAGAACTGCATTCCTGCTTTGCTGGGGAACTGAGATACCACTGCCATTGTCCTAGCAACTTCTTCTCCCTCACCACCAGCATGTTGCCTCATGGGTTTTGAAATGTATTTGTGCATTGGAAACCCTGCAATGGGAAAAGCTGCTGGGAAGGCCATCTGGAGTGCAGAAGCAGCATCCAGCCATCTATTCCCATTGTGCCTGTTGTATTTTATAGACATTTTATGAAAATATTTATACCCCAGTGTTCCCATAGGTCAAGTCAGCATACTCATGCAATTAAAAAAAAATAGCAAATATAATAAAACCTCACAAAGCCCCCACACTTCTGCTAAAATAAGGCTTGCAGTCCACACCCCATTAAAAGCCCTTGCAAATATAGTCCCCTAAGAGCACCGGAATAAACCTCTGCAGGGTGGGAGCTATGATGGAAAAGGCATGAACTGGCTGGGCTACCCTAAGCAGAGGAGCAACCAGAAGGCAGCAGCCTGAGGACCACAACTGGGACATGGGGGTCCATGGTAAGAGGTCATCCCCTAGATATTTGGGTGCTAGGTCATGAACTGCTGCTTCGTGGAATGTCTTTGTGTGACTGTCATAGATATCCGTCGGCTACTGTCCATGGAGAAACTAATGCAACTCCTTGTGTCCCAACCACATTCCAACGCCTGGCCATTTTATGCACATTTTAGAAGAGTATTTTAAATATTTTTCCCAAGTTGTGTAGTTCCCTTGCTGTGCGACTTAAGCATAAGAGCTTCCCTGAGGGGAACTGCCAAACATATATGCAAAAGACAGAATAGATCAAAAAAAGACCCCACACACAAACATACATATTTTGTAAGGTTTTGACTCCCGCAGACTTTTGGATGCTAATTCCTCCAGCTGCTTGGGCCCAAAATATTTGCACACTGTCCACCCATAAGAGCGTGCTCAGGTTCTGATCTCATCCAAGGTGGCTTTGATGCCGGAACCCGCACTTGGAGAGTGTCAGCTGACAGGGATTTATGGTAGAGCCTTCTCACCTCCTGCCTCTAAATTTTAGAACTCCCACACACACACACATACACAGGAACTGTATTTCATGCCATCATCACAGGCCTTCTGGTGAAATGTGAAGACCCATTCAAGAGTCACCTCATTCTATAGAATGGAAAGGTTGTGTGTGTGTGTGTGTGTGTGTGTGTATAAAATTTAACATTTTTTGACTTTTGTGTATAATTTGGGATTTTGAATTCTTATTCCTCTTTCCAGCAAAATATAACAAAGCCCAATGCCTCATTAAACACTAACAAAATTTTCTTCCTACATACGCGTTCATGAGTCAGAGATCACTCCATCAGATGCATCGGTTCTGACTCATGAAAGCTTATGCTGGAAGAAATTTCATTAGTCTTTAAGGTGACACTTGACTCTTGTTTTCTAAAACTTGTTTTCTAAAACGGACTAAGACTTGTACCCACCTGGAATTCTCCCTCTTTCCAGGACACTCCCCCCCCAACAGCTAAAATAACAAAATGAAGCACATGGATGTGGCTATATTTCACTAGGGTCACTCCCCCCCCCGCATGACTACCCCCTCCCCCCCAAAGCACTACTTGTTTTGCCTCACCTCTAGTCCTACTTCCTGTGCCTCAGAAGTGAGGGAACAGTCCGGAGGTTGGGAAGCTAGAAAAGGCTTCAGCACCATGGACAGAGCACAAGGGAGCCAAACCGTGTCAAAAGTCAATGCAAAAGATAAGCAAAGAGCTCCTATAAGAAAGCCTATCTGCATAACCGCAAATGTTTACTGATCATTGACATCTGGAGTGATAATCTATAAAGTTTCTGCAGCCCAAACACTGACCATTGCACACACAAAGACTCACAATAAGTCATAAATATACACAGGAAGACGTTTTAGTGCACAATAAACACAATTCTTTTAGTGAACTGGCACAAGTATGTGCATCGTTTGTTCTTGGGATTACTGGCAACTGCTCTGCTCTATCATTTCCCTTTCTATAAAGAATCTCTAAGATGCCCTTTTGCACCATAAACCAATTTGCCTACCATTCTCTTCAAGCAACTACTGTATAGCGTCCTGCCTATCCTTCCAATGCACCTTAACATAAAATATTTTCTTTTCTTTTTAAAAGAGCCACATTTAGTTCTGGACAGAGCTACAGCTTCAGATCCCTGATCAAACCACAGTTCCTAAGACCTCTTATACACACACGTAATTTGATACATGATATACAGAATGTCAAGAACCTTGCATAAAGTTTGAGTCCATGTTTACTTTAAAATAGCTTCACTCTTTCAACCCCATTGCCTTTTGCACTATCTATGCTCCTCTGTTTTCTCTTTCCTCCTCAGATACCCTAAAAACCCAAGGTCGTATTCCTACGCCCTAACTCTGCCTGACCTCCCTATCCTTAGAACTATTTCCCTCCCAGCATCCATCTGGCACCTTCCATTGGTGTATTTAAGCTCCTGACAAAACCTCGCCCCATTCCCACTGGCATTTTCTAATTGGCCTGGCACAGCTACCTTCCCCCTCTCGGCTTCCCTCCCTTATGTCTCTGGATTCCCTCAGCATGCAAGGCTGATGGCAGAGCCTGCAACTATCCTTCCCTGTAGGTAAAGTGGCTCATCTAGTGCTTCAGGCATACAACAATTCTGCTTAAGCATTCTGGCTTCTCCCAAAGAATTAGGGAGATGTTGGTTTGTTGTAGATGTCAAGACAGGGTTGGTGAGCACAAAACATGGGGGCCAAGAGGCAGTGCATCATCTGAAGGTGGTGTCAGTGGAAAAGGCATGGGCAGGTGTGGGAATAGCAGCTGCTAAAGTGATGCATTCCTGGGTGTGACATGACTGAGCTGCTGGGGACAGAAAGGTGGGGTGAGGAGGAGGCGAATGTGGGTGCAGAAAATGGTGTGTGTTAGGAACAAGTGAGGACACTGTGCAATTTGGTACTGCCACAAGCTGCTGGAAATTTTCTTGCACCCCACTCAGCTTGAGTCTCAGGGAGAAAGTAAAGTAAACAAATTTGGTCTGATAGTTGCAGAAGGGTTTGGAACTGAGATTGTGTGTGTGGCAGAGAGGGAGAGAGAGACACAGAGAGACACACAGAGAGAATCCTGTGTATCCTTGTTGCTACTCTTGTAGAAGGAACCAAAACTGGATGCCTAATAATGGGGTTTGTTGTTGTTTTTTAAGCTGGAGCTGTAATAAGGATCCATGTCAACTTCTGCTTCCTTGTTCTTGTTGCAAAGAGGGTGCTGGGTTTTTGTCCAGGCTGCCTAGCAGCTGATGCAGGCACAACTTTTTTGCCTGCAGAAAGTAAGGGGGGGGGGGTCTTGCAGGCCTCCTTAGAAGCTGGTGGGGGTAAGTAAGAAAGTGGGGCATGCTGAGAAAGTGCCAGGCCTGGGCATTGCAGCACGCCCCTGCAAAGGGCCTCTGGGCATCTTCCCTGCCTCGGCTGGTAGTGGCCGCAGAGCTCTGTGGGCATGGGGGGGGGAGGTCGCCCCTGAGGCCCCAGGAAGATGAAGGAGGGCACCTTGGCCGATGCCCTTCCAGGAGGCGAGGCCTGGGCGAGCGGGGACTGGTGATGGTGCCATCCATCCAGCCAGCCATCCGGGGGAAGGAGGGCGGGCGGGAGGGAGGCCCCGATGCCAAGCGTGGCGGCGTGGGCGGACGTGTCGCCGGAGTGCGGGGTGGTCTTGCGCGGCTCCTGGGCGGCTGGCTGCCGGCTCTTCCCCGGCTCTGGCACTAGGGGTCCCCCAGCCCCATCCTTCCTGTGCGGCGGCGGCGGCGGCGGCTGCTGCTGCTTGCGGGTCGGCGAGGAGGGAGGGAGGGAGGGAGGGAGGGAGGGGATGG